TCCAGAGTTGTCGTTCTTGACTTCTCTTTTATTAATAAGTTGATGTGACTATCGAGTATGTAGCATCACTGCCATAACTATGATATAACTTTCACCCTTATCTAAATTTGGGATATCTATTGATAAACACATGGTTATGCTATCTTGGTTCAATTTTGAGTATATAGGTGACCAATTTGATCCATGATGACGTATTTCACCAAACATTGTGCTTTTATCTTTCACTTATTTACTTACTTATGCCTGTTACTCCCAATGGAGTATTGACCGCCAACCAGCATTCTCCAGCTCACTCTGTCCTGAGCGTTTCTTCCTAATTCTGCCCAATTTTTGTTCATTCTTCTCATGTCTGTCTCCATTTCTCGACGTAATGTGTTCTTTGGTCTTCCTCTTCTCCATTGACATTTAGATTTATCTTTCACTGACATTTCTCAAAACATGTGAGTTGGGATGACAACAGAATTATAATTTCTCAAACATTTTTGGGGGTCAGCCCTATACACAGATTTCTTACTGATTTGTACATTTCAGCATAATGTATATACGTTCAACTATGATAGTTATTGCTTAATGTGCTATTTCAATTTGTGTTTCCATGTCCCACAGTCAGATATGTTGACATGTAACTGTTTCAGCTCCTATTTACCTCGTATAGAGTTCATTACTAATTGATCATGCATGAGTAACCAACTTTAGCTGAATCTGGAATAACTCAATAGAAGCAGTCTGTATTTTGAGTCGGTGTGTACAGTTTTTAATCAATAGTATCATTATTATCCATATCTGATTTGTCTTTCTAGTTGGTAAGATAATTTCTCACAATTGCATGGTTTTTTGAACAACAAATAAATGAGTTGTTCCTATCAGTCAGTCTGTTGAATACAGTATAGTACCTTTATGATCTAAGCAATAGTTCAAATTTGTATACCATATTAACAGAGCGAGATAAAATGGTAGGGAAAAATTCCAGAATAGTACAAATGTTACGAGTAATAGTGGTCATCGAAAAGGTTCGTAGCATGCTTTAGCAATACCTATGTATATATCTTGATGGTCAAAAATAAAGCATTCTCATTTGATGTTTGGGCGAGAATGATAATGATTGTTTGTCTGCTTAATCAGACAACGGAAGTAGGGTCGTAGAAGATCATAAATCGACTGAAGTTAGACATCAACACCGTTGAATGTCAGCATAATGGTCCAGAGGTTAAGCTTTCGTAGGCGAGACCAAAAGTCCTGCATCTGAGTTGAGCTTGTGGTAAAGTGGATACTCACTTTTGAGGAGTGCCATACAAGGACGAAACGGTCGTTCAGTGCATCCAGGTTTTTACTTATGATCTAACTTAAATCAACTCATGAATTAAGCTATTAAAATTATTAAAATTTCCACAAACCCCAATGCTGATAATAAATCTGTCCTAAATTATGAAATACTCCGATCTACAAAACTTGTATTCTTGATGCCATTACACAATATGAAAACGCATCTTATATATTTTTCATAGTTGGAAGCGTTAGTCAATTGAAGCTAGACCACCATGGAAAACATGGAAGAACTGGACGGCCGTTTCATCCTACTATGGGACTCCTCAGCAGTGCGCATCCACGATACTGCACTCACGAGATTCAAACCCAGGACGTACCAGTCTGGCGCCAGAGCGCTTAATCGATAGACCACTGAGCTGGCCGGCATCCAACGGTGTTAATGTCTAACTTCAACTGATCCACGAAGTTGAGCAACCAATTGTCTTCTGGGTTCGAATCTCGCGAGTGCAGTATCGTGGATGTGCACTGCTGAGGAGTCCCATAATAGAACGAAACGGCCGTCCAGTTCTTCCAGGTTTTCCATGGTGTTCTAACTTCAATTGACTCACGCTTCCAACTATGAAAATACTAATTCTCCACACAACCACTTCTGATTATTTATTTTTGACAAAAGTATCATTTTAAAAGCAAACGTTTGACGGATTATAATAGTCTCAGTGTTCAATCTTTGTGAATTATGTAAATCAAAACTGGGAGAATGAATGCAGTTTCTAATCATTCCAATGCAATTACAAAAATTAGGTAAAAAAGGGAAAACAAATGTCCTGATGTGTAAGGAAATAGATTCCAGGAACACTATCAGTCAATACTAACTTCATCCACATTCTAGAAATAACAACCTAATGTTTAACAGTTCTTAGATGTTTGTTGAGAAATTCTAACTAGATACATGAAATACACATTAGCAATGTTTAATCGATTCAACATATTTGAAATTCATTCCTTGATTAATTTATCAATCATTTGTCTCAAACCCTACTACTTCCAATCATTCAGTAGTTTGATTTACATTAAAATATTTCAAAAGTTTAAACTGGCACAGATAATGGTTAGCAGTGGAATCAAACATGAACATATCGCCCATCCTATTTGATACTCGTCATTTAGATGAACATGAATCTCACACTTAATGTTCACTTAGAGAATCTATCAAATTCAAATGAACAAAATATATGTGATTCACAACAGATTATTGTGAAAATTACATGAAATTAATGTGCAGTTTGTAGTTGTGGAGAATGTTGAATGTTATAGAAACGATGAACCGAACAAGGATGAAACAGGCTTCCATCACTTCCACCTTCTCAATCGTGATTCAACATTGATTATTTAAAGATTTTCAATGAGAATAGCTAGCGCAATGAAGCTGATGATCATACACTATCAAACATTAATCCAATGTATTCGATCATTCCTCCATCCATCATTCCTCTTCCGTTCTCAACTAATGGAATTATGTGATTCAATCACTGGAAGTTAGATTGGATTTGGAAATTATGATCAATCACACTTTACGTCCGATCTGGCAACGAAAACTGGGAAAGCTTATTATTGGAGAAATCCGAATACTTCAACGATTATTTCTTTTCCAGAAATACAACAGATACTAATGAATCTCATCTCTCAACGACTTAAAACTGTGTTATCTCAAATGATTTACATCATAATCCAACTTTCAATTGCATTCTATCATTCGGTGGATGCTTTTCATAATCCGTCATTACTGACAATATTCATTCTTGTAGATGGTTGAATAGCAAGCGATTTGTGTACTTGAGTCAATGTAGCACATAATGAAGCAGAAAGTTGTGAAATGTTTCTATTCAACAAGCTGACATGATTCGACAAAATATATGCTAAATGCATACCAGAAATAGTACCATCGTTATTGAAGTAACGTGGAATAGACTAAGGTTGTTCTGTGTGATATAGATTATTGAATTTTGTATGGAGATTGACCTACGTCAGTTTAATAGTTCGTCGGTGACACTATAAAATTCATTATGTTTACATGACCACCTTGTGTTTCTTCTCGAAAAACATCATCTACATTGTGAATAGACTATTAGATATGCAGTGTTTAGATAGTATCTAGTTCATACACTACAGCTTGGTATACCACCAAACTGATAATTATTTCTATGTGATTAGATTATTTTCAATGTGATCATAAGATTTGACATCAGATTCTCATAGTGTTTTATTTCACAGTTCATAATTCATAACTATCATTCTTTCAATTACAAATTACTCGAAACAATTAAGACTTTCACACTGTTCATCGAGCTGCTATACCCTAGCGAAGACATAATTACGGATAATTTCCGGGACCTATTAATGGACAAATGTTCTATGTATATACTTATGGTTCAACTGTTGAGTAACTAGATTGTGTATATCTATATTCATCTTATTATAAGCTTCATTTTGACCTATGAATTATTATTATGCTAATTACTGTCCCTCAATTATATTCAGTTTATCGATTATTGTATCCCACGTTCACAGCCACATTTGGCTTGATCTTGTACAAATATTATTTTGTATTTTCTGGAGTGCTGCCGTCTGTCAGTTTGGTATATAAACCGAGTATGCTTGTAATAAATGATTCGTATAGCTGAATCTGTAAATGGTGTTCTGGACTCAATTGGAGGGGCTAGACGGACAATGGACCAATAAGAACTCTGGACTGCTCAAACTAGTTGAACGTCATTGATTTATCACAGCGTTAAGATCGCAAAAGTTGTGTTTTGATTGGTGGATAATTCACGTGATAAAAACCCGGACAAAAACTAATAAGGAATTGGCATACATCCTATTTTTTATAAAGTCATGACACGAACCATTTCATTAAACTCAACGAGAAATAATAAGACATAACTTATATTGCTATCTCACATACTGTGGGGAATAGTAACACTATAACCATCCAGTCATGCAACATGTTGCAAATTAAGCTTCACTGTATTATCAGTAAAAGAATTTTCTTGATTGTTTTAGTATACATCTCTGTCATTTCTCATAACAGTCATATCCATCAAATCATGATGAACATCGTTGTCCCTATAAGTGTCACTCTCGTATTTCAAACGGGAATTTCCTATTCATTCAAGTTTTCCATCTGACATCGATTAGTTTCACTTCTGAGATTTATCAACTTGATACTCTTCACCAAGTAAACATTTAATTTCCATCAATTTGGTGACATTTCTCGATCCATCAAAGTTTTAACAACACAATCGATGACCTACATCCATGTCGAACTGAGTTTAAACAGTGCAACTTTGAGATGATCCAAATCGATTAATCGTGTGATTCAGTCAACCAGTCAAACTGAGTAATCAACAACTTCTCAATGATAAGATTGCTCTGAGACAAACAAGGAAGCGAAATGACACAGATTGTGCCTATTAACACTAAAACACTAGTTGTCTTTAACATCATCAACAGTGGAACACTGTTCTATAGTGAATTTTTATTTCAACCTATGCTCAAATAGTAAGCCTGAAACTGCTGACTATTCTAAAAACAAAACACTGAACAGAAATCGAGCTATTGAATTATATTTAAACATACGAAGATAAACAGTCAATATTTATCTAAGTAATCACAGGATTTCAGCACATCTCCATAGAATTATTTACCAAAACTTCCATTCTCAATCTAATTTCAGTTTATTTCACTTCACGTTTCTCTATATTATCATCACCACCCATATCCTGTTCTTCAGCGTACTCATCATATGCATATGGCCCACCAACAGGCTCATAACTGTCTGGTACATTTTCACCCCATCCTATGTTATCGTAATATTGAGGTGGTTCATAAACTGGGTGTTGTTCAGGATTTCCATATTGTTGATGACCTTGTGGTGGGAAGTAAGCTTGTATTGGTCTTGATTGTTGTTGTTGACGTTTGATCATTTGTGATTGACCAGTGGATTGTCCATAACCACTCTGTCCTCTATATGAATTAGAATTTTGAGAGCATGCACTCATTGGTTGTTGTGCATTGTTGGTAATTCTCTCTCCCATTTGACTGTTCATCACCATATTGGATGGATAATATTGTTGTTGTTGTTGCATTGGTTGCTGTTGTCTATATGAAGAAATCCCTTGGATTATTTTCGACTGTACCTGACGTCTACCTAATTGAGGTATATTATTTGATCCTAAGTAACCATTTACAAATTGAATGCCTTGTCCTAATTTTTTCTCATATTGTGCTATATTTCCAAATGTATCCTTTAATCCATTTATATTTAAACTTTGTGATAATTGACAACAGCTCATCATTATTATGTAGATGGATATAAATGACATGAAATTATAGGTGACCAAATTGTTGATTCGCATTGTTCAATATGATCACCTGGAACATGAGAAAGAAAGAAAAACACGATTTATCTACTGGTATCGATGATGTTTTAAGACTTTCTTTATGATGAACAAAAGTGAATGGATGTGTGTTATGACGAATCAAATAATAATAGTAAGCAAAGATGGATAGTGGCTAGCAGTGGAGTACAGGACACGAGTTTCGTCCTATTTGGGGCTCGTCAGCTGTGTGTGCCTGCATCTCAGAGTTGATGTTCACGCTGGGACTTGAACCCATTACCATTCGCTTCAAACGCCATTGCGTTATCCACTCAGCTACTGACGAAACGCGCGTCCCTGATTCCGCTGCTAGCTATTATCCATATTTGCTTATAATGTTTGTGAATTGAGGCTATTTTGAGGCAATATGTACAGTATGCACATATGGCCAATAAGAGATTGACCAGTTGCAATCCTAAACATCAATGGGAAGATTCAAACAAACAATACTAAGTGAATCTAAATAATAGTAGTGTTTGTCTCAGATTTGTTTTACTTAATCTTTTCAATTTAATTTTGTTGTTTATTTAGAGACACCACATTACAAGGTATGTTAAGTTTGTGTGCGATCACTGTCGTTATTCTCTTCTCTTCAAGTGTTTTATGTATTACTTTATACTATCGTGGATGCACACTGCTGAGAAGTCCCATGCTGAGACGAAACAGCCGTCCAGTGCTTCTAGATTTTCTATGGTGGTCTAGATTCAATTGACTCATGATTTCAACTATAAAAGTACAAAAATCTCCATAAAACACCCTTCTGATATTGATTAACATTCAGTAAATAGTTGTATTCGTAGTAATTTCTAAACGTATGTAGTAAGACAAATTAATGGTGTAATATTCTAAAATATTTACATATACTCATGACATTTATATTATTTAACATCACAATTACTTTATTTCAATCCCTATAACAGTTATTGAGATGTCCCATACTAGGAAAAAACGGTCTTCCAGTACTTCCAGGTTCTCAATGATGGTCTAGCTTAAATCGACGAATGAATTAAACTGTTAAAATTACTAAAATCTCCAGAAATCCCCATTCTGACAGTAACAATTTATCTGTTTTTGCATTATTATTTTTTATTACTACCGTGTCTGTATGATCACGTGTGGTTGATCACAGGTTTCAATCTACGTACATGTCCCTCTCTTGACTTTAATTGTTAGTTGCTTAAATCGCCCGTATATATATATACATATATGCATGTTTGAATGTTATTAATTGATTCGACTGTCAGTTCAACTTTAAATTTGCCTTCTCGCTCGCGAAAATTAGCTTTTCTGCTCCAATTCGCTTGGTGTGTTTATGGCTCAGTGATCTGTGCAATTCAATAATGAACTGTAGCCGGCGTTTAGGGTTGCCTTCTCAATTCATACCTTCTCAATTCATATCGAATAAAGGTTATCGGAGCGATTGATGTACGACGCCTAAGAAATTATCTTGAAGCTTATCTACTGTAATGTATATAATCTGATATTTATTGAATGATGATCTCACATGAAATCGTTTACGTACTAATGATCATCATGGTTGTTGATAAGAAGTCACACAACGTTATATTAATTTAAAAATGTTTAGTAACCATGAGTTGATGACATATAATCTCATTCGGTTGTTAATAAATAACATACTATGGCAAAGTGATGGTTTGAAAATACTACCTGAATAACTTGATAATTCTACTAACATCAACTTAGTTTCCACATCGTGAGGAATCTTTTATTTGTTAAACGATCTCTGACAAAATGCATTCATTGAATATCTATTCGTTTAGCAATAATAGGCACAGTATAGTTCGAATTGGGAAACAAATTGATCTATTCATTCTATATTTTCTTAACCAGATATTTCAACTAACGACAACTAACGTCAAAATTATAGGGTCAAGTGACACACTTATCTGGTAGTATACATGCTTAACCTTAACCAATTGTCGATATTGTGCGATTATCTCCCATCGCCTAAGGTGAAAATCTGTTTGACATACGACACAGATGAACACCACTAGTCAAAGCTTCTCACTAGAACTTTAGGAATCGTGTCCTGAGGTCAGTTACTAATAAGCATATGATTCAGGGTCATACTGGGATCATATTTTAATAACAATAATAATAATAGTCAAAAATTCGAAATCATATAGTCAAGATGTGTTATAACAATTACCAATTTCTCCAATTAGAAGATATATTCTATAATACTTCAAATATGATCGCAAATTTATACTCATCTTCTATGTTTCCCATGACAACTATATGTCAATCAATTGTTGTTATTGGTTATCATTGTGATGTATACAAATAAAATGAAGTAAATTATGTGATTAGTATGATAATTTTGACAGTTATCAAGGTATTCATTGTATGTATGCACTATTTGTTTTGTGATAATTTTCAATGGGTGTCAACTGTTCACATCAACAGTTATCTATAACCTGGTGACCTTACCTGGTATATCGCTTGAATTAATCATTACTGAAAAATAAGATCTTAGGTAACCTAAGTTCTATTTTGTAAATCTGTTTGTCACCATAATGGGGTTGATTTTTTTTTATATAAAAAAATGCTTTTCTATCAAATAAATAAAATGTAACATCACCTGGAACACCTATATGGGTAATGCCAGTCCTAAGCCTGGGTTAGGAGTGGGAGGGAATGAACGTCATATAAACAACCACATCTCATAAAAGGAAATCCTCATTGAGCTGGGGTTTAGGTGCTCAATACGTGACTGAAAAACTCGAGGGTCATGAATGCGCACTGATTATGAGTCCAATACTAGGCAGGAAAAGCTTCCCAGTGCTTTCCAGTTTTCAATGGATATCAAGATCATCTACAAAGTTAAAAGAACTATATCAAAAGGAAATCAGTCTAGTAACTTGTGTATGTTAAAAGCTTTATTCAACTCACCATTTCACGTTTGATTTGTGTGTTCTAGTAATGCAAGGTCAACCCCTTATTTTATATTCGTCTTAGGACACCTTTCTATTATTCAGGTTATTTTCATTAGCTTTTGGTTATTCTTCATTTTTTGCGTATTCATTGAACAGATAGTTTTCTTTTAAATCTCTATAAGTCACTACTTATTTGTTTTCTTAGCGACTATTACGCGACTCATATCAGATAATTGAAGACATTGTTAAGTGAATGGTAGCAAGCAGCAAGAAACTCTCTGATTTAGGCTTTAGTTTAGTTTATACTCATTCCTATGACATGCCTAAAATCATCAGGGCACTGTTGCTCTCTGATAGTTATATTTGGTAGCGTTGTTGAATAATCCGAAATCGTTCAACCTTATCCTGGGTTTCTATGTGGGAAAATGAACTGTAAATACGATTGTATAGATTACATAAATAGCAGCACGAAAAAGAACTCGTTAACTGAAACCTGTTCATTTTGTTAATCAAAAATATTTGTGGAAATGTATTTATATGTTAAATTAATCTGTGTCAAACTAACTTGTTATGTACATTTTTAAGTCACTAACTTCTAGTCTGAGTCATGTTTGTAGATGCAGATTAATTGGTTGGGGTCCGCGTGACTGTTGCAATTTATGGTTGGAGATTATGGGTGACACAGCGCAGAATCGATCACAATGCTGTAGATATATACATTCTTTGTCTTCCCTTAAACCATGAGATTAAAATTACTGTATACCTTTCTTTCTACGATGAACACAGTGGATCTGATGCAGATGTGAAGACGTGGATCGGCAAAGCAACAGCAGCATATTTAAAACTGAAGGACATCTGCAACTCAAAACAATTGTCAACCAACACCAAGATCACAGTTTTTAATACAAATGTCGAGACAGTTCTACTGTATGGGGTGGAAACCTAGAGAACAAAAAAGGCCACCAACCAGAAGATACAGGTGCTTATTAACAGTTGTCTACGCAAAGTACTTCGGATCGGTTGACCAGACACTATCAGCAACAATCCACTGTGGGAGAGAACAAACCAGATTTCAGTGGAGGAAGAAGCGCTGGAAGTGGATAGGACATATATTGAGGAAATCACCCAACTGCGTCACAATGCAAGCCCTCACATGGAGTCCTGAAGGCCAAAGTAGGAGAGGAAGACCGATGAACACAATACGCCGACAAATGGAGACAGACATGAGAAGAATGAACAAAAGTTGCATAGAACTAGAAAAGAAGGTCTAGGACAGAGTGGATTGGAGAATGCTGGTCAGCAGCCTATGCTCTATTGGGGGTAACGGGAGTAAGTAAGTAAGTTTCTTTAACGAACTGATTCTTTCTCCCCATATTGTACCTTTATACGCAACCTTTCTTTTATATATTAATACCATTGAAGTAACTACTTCTATGAATTCGGTGTTCACTGTTTTGTGCTAATGAAGTATGGCAACTTGGATCGATGAACGTATGTGCCCGGTCCTACGTTGTAGCTGACTGACTGACATTTTTAAAAATTCAAATTTCTTATACAAAATAAAAGTTGAGTTTACAGTGTTTGATTTCATTTTTGTGTGAAAATGTAATCACATCTTATGAAAAGGAAGTAGTTTAATACAGATTTGCACATTATATAGACAAAGTAGGAAAGTATCATTTAATCGCCACAAGTAACGAAAGATGATACCAATTTAGTGCGGCCTTTTATCTAACTCCAATTAAATCCTATTATGATTGTTATCGACGGGCTTGCAAA